ATGTACTCCGTACAGTTGAAGGCTAAGCCACTGTGAGTTGGTAGTAATAACAACAAATGGTAATGGAAACAATAGCAATAGTTCTTGTAGTAGCAATAGTACCCCATGTTTGGGGTTTAGGACTACGCGTTTCGAACGCTTCAGAGCTCAGGGCTTCTCGGCTGACCCCTCCGCTGTTCGGCTCTACATCCTTACTCGGGTTTAGGGTTTTAGGGTTCAGGGTGTAGGGTCTGGGTTCAGGGTTTAAGGGGTCTACATCCTCCCCCCCGGCCTAGAGTCGTCAGAAGCACATCCTGCCCTCCTTCCGACGTACAGAGGCACACGTCGGCGACGTAACAAAGAGAGGGCTTCGCTTGTAGGGTTAAGGGATCAGAGCGGCAGTCGTTCTTTCCGAGCTGTAGAGATTACGTTTAGGTCTGCATAGTAGTAGTAGTAGTAGTAGTAGTAGTAGTCGTAGTCGTCGTCGTCGTCGTAGTAGCAGTAGTGGTAGAAGTAGTAGTAATCGTGCTGGTGGTAGTGGTAGTGGTAGTTAGTTGTAGTGGTACTGGTAGTTGTAGTGGTAGTAGAAGTAGTAGTATCATGAGTAAGAGGAGGGTGAGGAGGAGTAGTAGTAGTGGTTGTGGCAGCAGAAGTAAAACTTGTAAAGTAGTCAAAGTAGCTCACGTAGCAACATTAGTAAACGTAGTAGCACCTGTAATCCTCGTCGGCGTAGTATCCTCCCCTTGCTTGTACTATGGTCACCCCAACACTTACTCAATAAGATCCCTTTATTGGTGTGGATGCGGTTGCATGCCCCACAGAGTCCCATCAGCTGAAGAGCACCAAGGAAAGATGCACCTGGAGAGTGAGCAGCTCATCCAGAGGCTGGATCACTGTTGCTTTCAAAGACTGTCGAAGCCCCCAAAAACCTTAAATCCCAACTCCTCAACCCTAAACCCTCAAACCTAAACTTAAAACCTCAAGAATGGAACTTCTTTAGGGTTTAGGGTTTGGAAGATTGGAAGGTGTTTATTTAGGGTCTGAGGGTTTAGGATAGTGGCTGGTGGCGTGTTGGGGTCGGAGGGTGCTTTTAGGATTGTGGGGTTGGGGATTACGGTGTAGGATTCTTAGGGTGTTAGGATCTAGGTTTCAGGGTTTAAGGAGGCGTTAGGCTTCAGATAATGGAGTCATTCGACCATTTTGCGCCTTGACCTTCAAGGCGGAAGTCCAACACAAGCAGGGTGCTTCAACTTGAAAACACACCCCGCCCAGCTGCAAGGCATGCCCATTTTGGGAACTCCACTTGATGCCACAGCTTATCTTCTCCCTGCCCTCCCAAACCTGGCCAATGCTGTATGGGCCCAATCCAGAGTTTCGGATTTCCCCTGGGCCCTAGCCCTAAGCCCACGAGCCTAGACCATGTTGATCGTAAAGCCTCGAAGACCTAACGGCTTTTGTTTAACCAGATCAGGACCAAGCTCCGAAAGACTCCTGCAGCCCCAAAGCTGGAACCAAACTCCTATAGGCCCTGACCAGCCTGACACCACAAGCTGGTAGGTATACGAAGGATCTGCGCGCAGCGACCAGCTCCAGTGACCTGGGGCATTCGGGCATTCGATCTTTTTCTAAAAACTTCGGATCATCAACTGAACCTTGGGTACGTCACGCGCAGCACTCCGCATGGCCTTGTAGGTTCCTGTTTCAGAAATTGAACGGAGCTGGCGAAATCGGCCTTCGGGCCCTGAAGCTTTCAGCGCTTCGTCTTTGGATCTTCGTACCGATACCGGCTGGGTTCATGGAGAGCTCTGCGGTCCCACATCCTACGACCCGGAATCTTTAGGGTTTAGGGGTCTGCCAGGTGCTTAGAGCGTCAATGGGTTTTGACTTCGGAGTGTCGCTCCTGCAGCAAGCCAGAGGATGGGAACTTGTGTCGGTAGCGCATGAATCCTTAGGGACTTATATAATTAACTCCTGCTCTTGTAGAAGTCATGGTGCTCATGTCTTCAAGCTGCTCGGGTTGAGATTTCTTTCGGTGCCGCATCGTCTATTTATGCTCAGGTCTATCAAGGGTATTAGGGTAGATATGCATACATGAATGCACTTATGTACGTGCGCATGTACGTATATCCGCATGTGTATGCATGCATGTTTCTGTGTGTGCGTATATGATCGTGTATGTATGCATGCGTGCGTGCATGCATGCATGTGCCTGCCTGCCTGCATGGTATGCATGTGTGTGTATATTCTGTCCCTGCCTGCTCTGTCTGCTTGCGTGCCTGCCTGGATAGCCCCAGCACTGCGCAAAGCACTTGCCGAACAGATTTCATGCCCCAGGCGAAGTCCACGCCATCGACAATGCCTTCCGTGGCCAGCTTGATGGCCTCAGGGATGCAGTCCTGCAGGACATGGATGTCTTCGGCGTAGGGATGAGGGCTGCCTGTGATTCGATTGTTTCTCCCTTGCCGTGTCTTGGTTTCCGGGCCTAAATACTTTCAGGGTTGGCGAGGCTGCAAGTCTGACGATTTGAATGCATGAGGTTTGAAAGTTCATCATCGTGGGCCGCGCATGTTGCCGTGCACCAAGCACCACTACTTGTAACAGGAAACCGTTGAACAACTCTGCCGAAGTGGTCGGTGTAGTCAGATCCGTCTCTCTGTAAGTTGTCTGCTGTAATTATGGAATTCGGGACGAAGCCGGGACAGAATCGGGAACAGCCCAAGCCCTAGATCCCGCCCTCTAGCCTCAATCCTTGAACCGCAAACCGTTTACGACCCCACACTCTCAACCCGCACGACCCTACCTGGATCATCAGGGCATTTAAGTCTAAGTAGTGAATAAGCATATCAATGCTCTAACTGTTAAACTGGGGCTATGCGTGACTAGCACCGCCACTAGAACCTGGGCAACTCATTCACATGATATGTTTACTAGCTGCAGATCTTTCATCCCAACATCCTTCCCTGGAAGGCCGACGTCAAATTGGGGTGGGTTTGGGTTTAGGGTTTAGGGGGTTTAGGGTCAAGGACCCTCCAAAACCTGCTTTTGTGGGTGGACATGGCTCTTGGGTTCTATAGGTGTTACACGAGCGTAGTATAGGTGAGTAGGAAACTTGAAAACTTTTTCCGGCCCTAAATACAGGGTTTAAGATTTACTAAATCTTAAACCCTGTACCCCAACAATACCCAGCCCCTAAAATAGAAGAGGTTCCGTAAAGGACGTATTTGACTGGCTGCTCAGGGAAGTGTGTACATAGGGGGCTTGAGCTGAGGGTTTCGGGCTTGAAGGTTTAGGGTTTTGACTTGAGGGTTTGGGTTTAAGGTTTGTTAGGTTTTGTGAGCGAGGGGTCGGGTTAGAAGGAGATGCAACATGAGTTCGATGAGTTCGTGCGATCCCACGACAGCGGCTGGGCTCCATTGGTACTTCTTGTTCCTTCAACCAGGTGTTTTGGGTTTTCAAGGCTTTAGTCAAAGAGGGACCGGATGCCAAAGCAGACTTCATCTGCGAAATCACGAGCCATACTCTACACTGACACAGGTGCGACCTTTAATTGTATATGTTTTGGCGTGTTTTGGCGCTCCGAGTGGTGGTTTACTATAGCCCGGCAGTCCCAAATCAGACCGGGGGTCGCAGAGGCATGGACTTTAAGCTTCTACGGTCTAGGCTTGGGATTTTAGTGTTCAGGGCTCGGTTTTGATCTAAGGCTCTAAGGGTTTGTCCGGGGTGTCGTGTCTTGTGCAGGTAAGTTCACCGACGAGCAGGTGAAGAATGACAAGCGCTTCTCACTTCTGGGTCCCATGAGAGCCTCGGCGAGACATGAATACTTAAACTCTCTCGCTCTATGTATATAGATAGGTAGATAGGTAGATACAGACATCCAGAAGCATGTATGTATGTATGTATGTCTGTACGCATGTGTATATTTAAGTACAAATATATATACATAAATATACATGCACATTTCTCTATCTATCTGTCGATCTACCTACCTATCTATCGATCTATCTATGTACCCATCTATCTATAGGGCATACTTAGCCGTTCAGGGCTGAGGCCTCTATCGATAGAGATACAGAGACGGCCCGAGCTCTCTGTGTAAGGCGAGTTGCCAACGCTACTTGGAGGTTCATGAGTAGTTATAAGTGGGGTTACAAGTCCCCTAATATGAGTTATATATAGTCTAGCCTACTTATAACCCCACTTGAAAAGGGACCATAATTTTGACAACCACCCACTTATAGCTATCCCTGAACCCCCAAGTAAACCCGATACCTCCTGGAAGGCCGAATCTCAGACAGTTTGATTTCTGTTTTCTTGGCACATACCGTCTTTCAAGCCTGCTGAAATCGAGTACCACCAGCGACCAAAAATCCCTAAACCTCAAACCCCAAACCCTAAACAGCCATAAACCTCCAAGTGCAGCCGAGCCCAGGGCGCAAATACGCCTCCGTCGACAGCCTCTGGCGATCGGCTGTCCATTTGGTGCTTGAGCAGAGCTCTGGAGAGAGATTGTCTAGGGGTTCTAGGGTTTTTGTGTGTAGGGTTTAGGGTTTTAAGGTTTTCATTATAGAGCTTATGGTTTTAATGTTCAGGGTTGGGTTTAGGGTTTTAGGGTTTTTGAGTTTCAGTGGTTGCGTTTTAGGATTGGGGCTATGCTCGAAGGACGATGCAGCACATGCCATGACGATGAACGCCTTCTGTCAGCCCACTGAGCTTCGATTCGCCCAGCCTCGAAACCTCATCAAGACAAACCTGACCCAAAAGGAGTTGATCTATGACGGCATCTGTTACGTGATTTGGGGTCCCTTCAAGTACAACTCAGTCATAGCAAGACTTCGTTAAAAGCACCAGCCGTCCCCCTCGGGTTCAGTCTCCACGACACCCGAGAGTTTCCTATGTCTCGATGGACTGCGTAAATCCTAAGCCCTGAACTCTAAACCGTCACCCCCCCCCCCCCCCCCAAAAAAAAAACCGTCACCCCTAAACCCTAAACCCTGAACTTTACAAAAGCTTCCAGGAATTCTATGGACCACCTCTTCGAAGAGATCTCAGCGCGCGTGAACGATCTGCTGCTGGAGCAGGGCTCTCACATCAACACTCAGCTCCTTGGCTCTCCAACAGAGGGCGGTTGGGGCTTCAGAGCTTAAGGGTTTTAGGGTTTGATTGCTATGGTATTTTGATAAGGAGCTGCAATACCCTATTTAAAGTATAATAAAGGCCCCTGTAGGAAACCCCTAAGCTTTGGGATTCACTTCTATGGTTTGCGGTTTAGGATTGTTAGTTTGGGTTGCGGGTTGGGGGTAGTAGAACATTTTCAGGCTCGCCTGGCGCACCCGAAGCCCGAAACCGAGACATACTAGGGTTTAGGGTTTAGGGTTTAGGGGTTCAAACTCCACACTCTTTTCTTGTTGGGAGAGTCCCCTTTTTCTAGACCGGGAGAGATCCAGGTCCTAGTTTCTTGAGGGGGGCTACCGGGGATTCTTCAACCCTGAGCCACGCTCTGAAGTTTACACCCAAGATGTTTCAAAGCGGCCGTCGTGGCTTCCTCCAGTTCTGCTGGACCCTGAGCCCAACTGTGATACGAAGCCCCTTGTACTCGGATCAAGCAGTCTGGTGTAGACTTATAGAGCCTAGGGCGCCAAAGCTCGAACGTGACTCAGGAACGTCGAGCGAGTTTTCGAAGAGAAGTGGAGCCAGGCACGCAAGTGCAGACTGGAGGGAAGTATCGTGTTCCTTGAATTCCAAGCCATTATCGCTAACACCTCGCTGGAAAGGTCATCACGGTCACAACTATCACGACTAGCTTCAGTAGCATTACTTCCAGCACTTTTGCCGCAATTGCCATCATGGCTTCGGTTGTTTCTTTGCTGCCTTGTTACCATATCTCGCCTGTGCTTCAGGTGATGGCGGAGACACTTCGAAAGCAGCGCCCGAATTTGGATCGTGCTGCTCGGCGAAAAACCGTGCTTGAGCAGCCCCGAGCCTGCATGCGACATCCGCTTGGCCGATGGATTCCCACAGCTTTAACCCAGCAACCGCAGGCCCCAAACTTGAAGAAGCAAGCACAAAAGCCCCTTTCCCCCTCCAAGGGGCCCCGAAAGCTTGGTGTCCGAATTCCACGCCTTAGCCCGATGCCATGCTTTTCGGGATTGAGGGGTGTAGGGGCTTAGGGTCTTGGGATTGTGGAGTTTTAAGGGTTCTGGAGATGTTTGGCCAAGTTCGGTCTAAACAGTCTAAACTTAATGCAGACCCCTGACTAAGAAGCCTCTCCTTTCTTTAGGTTGGTTCATGCTGGAAGAATTCGCTTGGGCCTGAATTTGCCATTGCAGGTTCCTAAAGTCTTCGTCCCTGTTAGCATGGTAAAACTTGTGGAGGGAGGGGTGCTCATTTGGTCCTGCCACGAGTGCCTCACCAGTGATGTTTCGGATTTGAGGGTTTCGTTCAGGGTTCCTAGCTTACTTTAGGTTTTGATAGTACTTCTTGGCTTGAGTGCTAGAGCCTTGGTCTGGAGTCTGGAGGCTTAGAGCTCATAAGGGAGATTCCGAAAATAGGGGACCTTAATATATATATATATATATATATATATATATATATATATATAGAGAGAGAGAGAGAGAGAGAGAGAGAGAGAGAGAGAGTACCCGAAATAGTAGCATCCTTAGTATAAGGACCCCAAAACAAGGTACCCCCCCATTTCCGAAAACTCCCATGTAGGACAGCTCTCAAACAGCGCTGGAAGCCTCTTGAGGCCCAACCTTCTGGGCCGCGAAGGCAGGCGCCTCTCATAGTGCAACAGGTCGGAAACCAAAATGCACACCGAATTCCCCATCAAACTTCGGGACACCCGTCAGGTTCCCAAGATGGCAACCCGAAACCCCAAACCCTACGCCCAAGGTCATGCAGGAGGTGATCTCGCACTTCAACGCTGCACTCCTGAACCTCAAGTCGCAATTCCGCAAGGCCCGGATCTCAGCCCCCTTGTATTCGGGGATCGAGGCTCTTGTTTAGGATTTAGGATGATTTAGGCTTATGGCCAGAGCTTTAGGGCTCATGTGGGAAGCTCTGAACACACTGATGTCGCAAAACAAGCCCGGACGCCCGAAGGGGGCTTTATTGTGTAGGATTGTACCGGATACTCTGACACATCACTTGAATCTAGATGAACATCATCAGTGTCAATGGTGTCGTTGCAGAACTCCTAGCCCTAAACCCTGGGGCAAATCACCCTCAGCACCGCCCTAGCTTGAAGATATAAACAAAAGTCAGGACTCCCCAAACAGCCCTAAATGCTAGTTTTTTCCTGAGCCAACATGCAACCCACCTTTTTTGGCAGTGCCATGTCTTATAAGTGTTCTGTCGTGCCTTACGTAGCTTAACCCTGCTCGGAGGTTCATGGGTAGTTATAAGTGGGGTTATAAGCAGGGTAGCTGCAATTATAACCCCCATTAGGGGGACTTACCCACGCGCCACTTGTAACTGTTTAACTACCAATGAACCTCCAAGTAAGCCCTAAACCGCCTGCAGCACTCATCTGACGAGGCCCACATCTTCCACGGGGTCAAGTCGCTAACCAGCGACATTCGCGAGATGTCGGAGGCTCTCGTTGGTTTAGGATCTGGGTTTAGGGCTTACTGTAGGGCTTAGCGGCCATTTAGCATAGGTGTCTAAAGCATTCCAAAGCCCCTAAAGCCTTCAATTCGAGGGTCCCGAAAGCCCCAAAACCCTACAGCCGTGCTGGAACTCATTGTGACGCCTAAACTAAACCTTAAATCTTACAATGCCCATGGCATTTCAATTTAACACAAGCCCGAAGCCCTAAAACCTTAAGCTTAATCCCGAAGCCCTTAACCCGAAACCGAAGCCCTATCCCTGAATAGACCAAACCTTTATACGGCAGTTATAGCAACCCTTGGCTAGGCGCTAGAACTTGTTACAACCCCTCAGCCCTAAGCCCCTAAGCCCCAAACCCAGAACCCGAAACCGATGCCCTATATAAACTAAACCCTCATAGATCCGTTCTAGAAGCCCTGAACCCAAAAGCCTATTTCCTAACAAGCCCTCAATAGCAATACTAACAAGAATGAAATATTAATATTCGCAACAATATTAATAGCCAGGAGTAAAAACAGTTCTAATAATGCCAACAATAACCATAATAAGAACAGCAGAAATGGCAGATCCATGGTCCCAGGCCTGCTCGTCCTTCCTCTTGGCCAAGAAGGGCATCGGGGCCGCGCTGGTCCCACTTGCAATGCCTCAGGCGCCGGCTTTGAAGAGCGGGGCCTACTTTTAAGGAGTTCCTTTAGGGGTTCCTTTACGTGTTCCTTTCAGGGTGCAGGGGTTGCCTCCGATGGTTTCGGGAAGCGGCGTTTTGGGTTGTACGGTTTGGGGGGTTTCTGGCTTGTGAGCTTGGGATTTGGGGTTGTGTGTTTGAGGTTTAGGAGATTATGGTTTGGGTCTAGGGGGTATGAGGAAGGAGGGGTTGTCTCACATTGAAAGGTGTAAGTCAGGAAAGCCGACTCTGTCTCGGCTTCGGAACGTCAAAAGGCGCCATCCATTTTCTGAAAACCTCCCAGCTCTTCTCGAGGCCCAAATTGTTGGCCGAGGCTAGACACTTGAAACGGCTTACAGCATGTAGGGTTTGTGTTGAGGGTTTCCGGCTTCCGTGGTTTAGGGTTTAGGGTTTAAGGTTTGCAACAAGAGTTTGCTGCGTGTAAGCTCCTCGGTTTATACCTGTGAGTGCATATTTGAGATTCTTCCTGGGTAGAAAGGTAATCAGCACCCTACCTCCTCGTATACTTATCACACACCTGGTCCCCGAACCCAAACAGTTCTTCTATACTTGTAGAAGGTGGAATACCAATAAGCCGCCAAACCACAGTCTAGTTACAGAGGCCCATGTAGCAATCCTGAAACGAAGGCCCAGTATAGGGGCCTACATAATTACCTATACTATTTTGGCGGGGCTCCTTATTATGACTTTAGTAGAATGTGGCCCAAAACACCATTCTAATTGTTCTAATTATGAAGGCCCCTTTCTTATAGCACCCTATTTTAGATCCGTTGTAGAACCCTTCAAAGAAACTCTAGGATAATACAGGGGCCTACATAATCACCTGTACTCCTATAGTACTCAGTGCGGACAGCAAAAGCACAGTGCGAAGGTGGCCTCCGGAGCTACGACGCAGGTTGACAACCTTTGGATCAAGCTGGTGGACACCATGAGGCTCCTTGAAAGGGTTCCATACAGGTCCCTAAGCCCCAAACCCATACCCGTTACAAGAATAGCTACGATGAGGGTTTGGATTTAGGGGCCTTTCCAGACAAAACAGAGTTTTGGTGTATATGATAGTATTCAAACCGTTCGAAGAGAATCGAAGCATGGGCTTGGCGTGTCAGGTCTCGGGCTTACATAGGGTTTGGAGTCAGCGGTTCCTGCTCGAGGGTGTTCTGGGTTCGGTGGGCAAGGACCCAGGCAGCAGAATCTTCATCGCAAGGGCCCCGAAGCAAAGGTGATAATGGCATCTAGTCTTCGTCTTGTTGGAACTTTGATTGTGAAGCCTACCGTTGAGCAAGCAACTCTAATCATCAACGGCACGAGCTGAGCGAACACCTTGAGTATATGAGCTGTGGTACATGCGAAGACAGGCCCGAGGATGTGCCAGACCTTCCTGATCGCCCAGAGCATTCACTCAAAAGTCTCCACAGACGAATTGTATATAGTATAGGACAAACTCCCCAAACCCGATTCTACTTATTCATTCTCCTGTCATTCCCCTACCTTATAGCTCTTCTCACATGTGCCGTGCTCAGACTTGAGCTCGAAACTCCCGAAGCCTTAACCTTTCAGCCACAGGCAACCCGAAAGCCGCCCCAACATCCTAAACGGGCTCCTTTTAAGGGTACTATAGGGTTCCATGATAGGGTCCTTTAATAGGGTCCTTAAAGGGATCGATAATGGGGACCATATCCGAAACCCTGAACTCAATGCCCTATACCCTGAACCCACGGCCCAAGCCGTAGACTCTGAAACCCGGAACCCCGAACCCGTTAAGTCCTGCACGCTTCAGCCCCTACCGGTCCTACCTCTAGTCTCCATTGTAGCCTTGTTGGGACGAACCAATTCTATATTGAGGATACCAAATAATACCCAAAAAGGAACTACGATGGAGCCAAGAGGTAAACTCATATCACACGAGGTTGGAGGTGGACCAGCAAGGGCAGATGAGTGATGCCGCCGCACTGAAGATCCTGAACCGGCTCAATTCTGTGCCCTGGCGTGGGGATATATAAGACAAAGTACGCATATACATATACAGCATAGTTATACATATATATATATATATATATATATATATAGATGTATGTATATATATATATATAGATTGGAGTTGGTTGGGGGCTTTGGTGTTCCCAATAGTTGTGATAGTCTTCCGATGACGGCCGGAGTGAGGATGGGGGTTTGGTTTGCAGTGGGGTTGCCGCTGGTGTGTCAGCATTCTCACCGCCACCATCATCATCGCCATCGCATCGTAGTTCCCACGCTCCTTGTTGCCATGGGTAGGGTAGGAGAGGCGTCGTTACGACCGTCTTCTTCTCATCGTGTCGTCCATCGCTATGTCTGTGTGCTTCGTCTTCATCCCATCCTCCTATACATGTTTACAAGATGTAACGGCAGCCCACGGCACTTTGGGCTGGGGTAGTTAACCCGAAACCCAGCAGGTTAGGTTTGGGGATTTGGAGGTGCAGGTTTTTGTGCTTTCGTGTTGATTGCTTTTCTTTTGAGTTTGCGGGGTGGGGTTTAAGGTTTAGGGTATGGGTTGATGGGACAGGTCTGTTGTCAGTTGAGCGGCCAGGTCTCGTAGAGACTTTGATTAGCGCCCCGTCCGACTCGACACTAAGGGGATACAGAGTGAAAGTATATGTAGGAGGTGGGAGTGCGCTTCCTGCCCTAAACCCATCACCTGAAAAAGGTTAGAGATTCTGAGATTTAGGGTTTACGAGTACGTAGACGAGAGGCCCCATGAACCCCGGAACTTTAGATCTTTAAACCCTTAGCTCGAACATTCCCAGCAGTGGGTTGTTCTGCAGCTCTGCAACCCCAACTCCCAGAAGTCACGAGGAGATGGAGGCCGCGGACCAGTTGCGCCAGCTACTGCATCGATTGGGATCCCCCTTCGTGCAGAAGTCGCTCGGCTTGAGAAATCGGAAGCCACCCGATTTCGTCAGTCCGATCAACCGAACACACCGTGTCCGGAGGGTGAGGGCTTCGCGGCAGTTTCCATACATGAGAAACTGGTGAGGGTTATTTGCAACAGGTTTCGCACTTCATGACGTACGTGGAAGTTATGTTGTTCTCATGCGATGCTGTACATGCACTTACTTCATGACGTATGTGGAAGTTATGTTGTTCTCATGCGATGCTGTACATGCACTTACTGTTTGTACACGGATCCCCGTGTATGTAGGTTGGCTTGTGACCCGTGCCAGACAAAGAGACTCGAATCGCAGTGGGTTCATGTAATATAGGGGCCTGAATAATTGGAACCCGTTCTACTATATGTATGATCTTGCAAGCTCATAGTGCCCTAAACCCTAAACTCTAGACTCTAAGCCCTATAGGAACTGAAGGTAATGATTCTGGAGCCTGTTGGGTCTGCAGAGCCATCACCCGTAGCTTCCGCCAGCGACCTACCAGTCAAGCTCTCATCCCTTTCTGCACCCCCTCCTCGACGGACGCCATGGGCTGCCTCATGGGAATCTTGGCGGCTTTTGGTGTGTTTGGGGAGTTTAATTTCGGGCGCTTGGTGAGATTTGGATTGTGGAAGAGCCAGTGTCGATTGATACGAGCCCTTGCCATGGTCCAGCTGTAGCGCCGCAGCGCTCTTCGTCAACAACACTTCGACAAGTTGAAGATCTGAGGAAAGGAGGAGATGGCTGGTCGGCCGATGCCTTATGCCCCGAACTACAGCTACCCGAACCAAGCGTACCGCGGCATAGACGAGCTTCAGGGCTGAAGGTTGGGGGTTTAAGCATTGCCGGGTTTCTATGTGGTGAAGTTCTGTATGCCAGGTACGGTGGCTATCAGCAAGTCTATGAGCAGCAGTATGCACCGGGACAGATTTGCCAGCCCAACAGATACGAGAATGCTCCGGGACAGCCCTTTTGCGAGGATCGCTTCGGCTGCATGTTTGCGGTTCTGGACCTTTCCGTTCGGTCTTTGCTTCAAGAGTTAAGTTCCGATTTTTGGCAGGATCGCTTCGGCTACAACCAACCGTCGCCTGGCTTCTACGGCGACTGCCGCCCCACGGCCCCGGAGCCTATGCAGTGCCGGCCGCCCATGACGGGATACGCCGATCCTTATGCCCAGCCCGGATGCTTGGGCAGCCGCCATTGCAGCGTGTGCGGTTTTTCCTGGTAGAATTAATTAGCTTTGTGCATGTTGGAGGTCTTCAGACTCTTGTAGCGCGCTGAGCCATCAAGGATACGCCCAGCCTGGCTACAGCCAGATGGACTACGGCGCACCCTCCTACGGCCAAGATGGGGCGTATCAGCAGAGCCAAGGAATGAGCTCAGGCGGCTTGACCGTCGATAGCTACATCCCTACACCTGACTTCAAGCCCCAATCCCAAACCTCCAAAATCCGAAAGCCGACGCTCGAAGCATTCAGGCGCGAAGATGGCGATGGCAGGCGCTGGTGGCTTAGCTCTTGGAGCTGGGGCGGTCTTCGCGGCTGAACACGCAGGCCACTTGGGAGCCAGGTCCTGGGTGTTACTTGTAGCAGGTCTACGGCTTGAAGGTGTGAAGCGAGGGCACGACGGGATGCAGTGCTTGTTTGCAGTACCGAGGCGACATTGCTCAGTTTGCGGAGGGCGCGTTCGACGACGTTGGGCGCTTCGCGGGAGATGCCGCACACGGTGTCGAAGAGTTCGTGGAGGATATCTTTTGAGGACGCACCGTCGCATGAAGCGGAGATCGTTGGATATTGTCACCACCGGAAAGGAGCTGTAGAGACTTCCTTGACGGGATTCCGTTCCTTAGCAGGAGCGTTCTTTTGGCTCTCATGTACAGTCCGCCATGTCACCATGTGATTGGAACGGTGACTTGAGATGCGGTGTGTGTGGAAACACGGAGCGCCTGCCTGCTCCAAGCCACTCAGAATTCTGTCCACGCGATCGCGCCGCTGAGGCTCGTGTATGAGATGGCAAAGGCCCCGTTGCAGTCGGCAGAGTTGGCCCTTCTCGGTGCCAGGATTCGGATTGAGGATCAGGGTGTCGTGTAGGGTTCAGGGTAGTTCAGGGTTATCGGGTTTGGGGGTTTAAGGATATCGGGTCAAGACCACCTTAGACTCTCTAGACTCATACTCGCAGCCTGAATTCCAGAAAGTCATTCCCCAATTCTGATCCCAAATACCATGTAACCAAACCAAGCCAAACCAGCAGGAACATCTCTCAAGAAGCAGCTTGGCCACGACTCAGATTGTAAAGCAACTAAGACAAGAGCGTATGTGTTGCAGGCTGGTGGAGACGTGGACAAGTAGATGGATAAACATGTATATAGCTACAGTGTGTGACACGTTTGATGTTCAACAGCTGATGTGTTGCTGCTGGGCCAAGACTCAAAACACACTTGTCTTGGTCGAGTGGTTGCCGTTCGTTCTCGGCTCCGCCTACTCCCGCTCCTCTCCGCAAGAACCCACAAATCCTGGACCCTCCACCCTCCGCTGCCCTCCAAGCCGAAGCACAGAGGCTGCAGCACTCACCCATTGCAGTGCTAACCTCCACTTCACTCACATCCTCCTGCATTCAACTGACTCAACATTACCCTCATGTCCAAGAAATCTCTCAAGACTAGAAGTTCATCCCGCGAAAGCTGACAGTACACCCAAACTGCAGCGGTCTAGGATAAGAGATCCGACGGTACAGGGCTGTTACATGTTCAAGGTTTTATGGCATCGGTCAATCTGACAGTACAAGGACAAGCGTTTCCGGGTCTTTGGTGCAATGTATGGAGGCCTTACATGAGAATTGCATGCAATTGCCAATGGCATCCCTCAGGGTTCTTGCTTTAAACATACGTAGCATAGCATACCCCTTAAAGCTGAGTATATATATATATATATATATATATTATTATTATTATTATTATTATTATTATTATTATTATTATTATTATTACTATTACGATTATTATTATTGTTATTCTATAATTGGAATCACCAAAGGCCTGGAGTTCACCAGGGCATACTCGACCTTCCTTAGCTTGTCCAGCCATCGCCCAGCGCCCTAATCCCCAATCCCCAAAACCCCTTCTTGCGCCCTTGCAGTCCCTACAGAACGACTCAGGCTGCAATATGCCCCAGAACGCTATTCTGACTATTGAGGCTCCTGCAATACTGTGTTATATGTAGCCACTAAAGCCTTCTCATGAACATCAACGCCGCTACATCAAGCCCTTGTCGCTTGGGAGGCCACCATCCACTATCGCTTCCAGATCGAGCCGCCTGTCCGCATTGGGGGTTTCTGACTCCTTTTTTTCGAGCTTTGGGGTGTAAGCTTCAAGGTTTTGGGGTGCACCTAAAACCTAAACCCGTCGGGTTCAGGGTTTTAGGGCTGGGGTCGAGGATTTCGGAATTCTATCTCTCTTTATGCTGCGGTTTCCGGATGATGGAGGGATGCTCAGTTCAACCGCACGTGTTTACCGATCTGTGGAGCAAAGGAACCGCCCCAACAGTATAGGTAATTACTGAGGCTCCTACTACTTATGCTACTGGACTCATGGGCACAAAACAAAAGCCTTTTGCTCTCGACCTTCAGGTGCCTGAGCCCTCGAGCCTGAATGAGAAGCCCACCCTGAGAAAGCAAACTCGTGTTTGAGCCCTAGACCCCGACATAGGGTCCTTAATAGTTAGTAAAGGGTTCGGGGGGATATTATACCGTAAAACAACAAGGAACCAACAAAAATAGTATAGGTAAGTATTAAGGCCCCAATCTTAGACTGTAAACACCAACAACAATGGAAGGCCGGTTTGCGCTGCTCGGCTTGGGGCTTGGAGCGACCATGCAAAAAATAAGATCCACTTCGTTGGATACGGCAAGGGAACATACGAAACCGTAAACCCCAACCTCCGTAAACCCAGAACCCTAAGCCCGAAAAGCCACAAACCATAAGCCTACGCCCCAACCGAACCCCAAACCAGAAATCCTATTCCTATACGCCCTAAGCCCTAACCTAGCCCAACACCCACCTTTCAGACCCGAAAGCTCTACCCCTAACCCCCAAGGCAGCAGAACTTCCAGACACGCGTCAGCGAGATCCTGGGGAAGAAGCAGCAGAAGCTGTGGGAGATCCAGGCAACGAGGGTTTGTGGTTTGTGGGTTTGCGGTTCGTGTGTTTAGGGTTTAGCTTTTAGGGCTGATAGGGTTTAGATGAGTTAGGGTTTGTGGGAGCTCCAGGCAGGTCTGGTTTATTTTCAACTGCAATAACCTACTATAGGCGCTTGCTAGAAGCCCCGACCATGAATTTATAGTGACCCTACAAACAGCTAGGTTTTGGTAGTTCAGGGCAGTTTATATAAGGTCCGAGATACCCCCAAAAGAACTGATCCAATTATTCAGCCCCTGATATTGTGGGCAGGTGCAGGCTTAATGGGTTATGGGTTTAGGATTGAGTGTTTGGGGTGTAGTGTTTCGGGCTTGGAACTTAGGGCTAAGAAGGGTTTAGGGTCTGGGGTTTGGGTTCAGGGTTTGCGGCTCAAACCGCAAAACCTTAGACGTGGGAAGCCTCAGCCGAAAGACCCCAGACCCCCAGACGTTGTCCGAAAAGCCCTGAGCCCCATTGGCCTTAGGGGGTTCGGGTTTTGGGGGGTTTGAAGTTTGTAGGGTTTAGGTTTCAGGGTTTAGTATTGCGAATGCCAAACGCCGAAATTGAGGCTTTCATAAACCCTAAAGCTCCGCAGCAAACCTGGCCGTGCCAGGCGCGAGTGGACAGCGGCAAGCGGGAAGTTCACTGTGCCAAGGCAGACCCTTGGGGTGGCGTCTCGGGGTTCATGGTTTAAGGGTTGTTTAGGGTTTAAAGTTCGGAAAGAGCTTATGGGTCCCTGTATCACAATTCAATGAACGGTGTAAAGTGTAGGGTTACAGTCATGCTGTGCACCCCCAGCTGTCCACCTAAAGCTTAGGGTGTACGGTTCAGGGTTTTGGATTCAGGGTTTTCGATTTGGTTTCGGCTTCCGGGACTTCTGATTCTAGACATGGGATCCAGGCAGCTGGGTTGATTTCCGATTAGAGGAGACCCCGAGTCCTGCCTACCTTCATACCATCCTTGGAGGCCCCCCGAAAGGGCTCCGGCCTTTGTGCAATACCGTTGTATTGTGGTGGGCCTTGCTTCCTCACCGGAAGAGCTATGCTTACTTTTTTTGAGTTTTATGTACTCACTCAGAGGGTCCATATATACTACCATTACGGAATTAGGTCCCCAAAGACCATCGCTATTATGGCTTTGGGGGCCTAGTTCCATAGTGGTAGTATATATGGACCCTCTAGGTCATTCATACATTTAAAGCCCAGTGTTTGACTCAGGGATGGCCACAAGCCCTTCATACGAATCACAAGCTTGCAGCGGCCATAGAACACGGCAGCTGTCGTGATACCACACCGAAACCCCAAACCCCCAAACTTTCAAACCATAAACCCCGGAACCCTAAAAGGACATATTCGCCACGCTTTTGTTTCCGCGAAGCTTCGAAAGTCGAATCAGAGGCATCGACGATTTACATGCCGATTTCGTAGGTCATCGAGCTTGGGAGCACTGGATACTCATCAAGTGCCATTCAAGGCTAGCATCTGCACTTATCATTAGGTTTGCCAATAATGAATTAACCTAGGGATCGTACATGCCCAAGATTGACTTCGTCGACTTCGTCCAAACGATATATCCATAGCCTGGAGTTCGGAGATATTGCACCGAAATTATTCCCCCGCGAGCCAATAGAATATGAATATTTAGCCATAATTACTTCTTGGAGAGTTCAGTCTCTGCTGTAATTTAAGAGATACCTTGATCCAGGGTTTAGGGTGTTGAAGTTCAAGCCCAGCAGGTTTGGGCAAAGACTTTCGTCGACACCTTGGACCAACACTTCCGAAATGCCGTTGGGCGCATGGCCCAAGAGGCGGGTCATCAAGAAATGAGTTAAACTATAAGAATAACAAGATGAGGCCGAGTCAAAGGGTGCCCTTAACCCCAAACCTTAAGCCCTAAGGCTTAAACCCACAACCCTACTGTGAGCCTTAAACCTTATGCCGTGAACCCTACCCTACCCTAAACCCTAGAATCTAGAATGGGGTTGCGGGTCAAGGGTTCTTCACTGAGGAAATTCGGGACTTCTTTTTCAACCCATGCAAACAGTCAACAGCATGGGGACGCAGAGACTACCTTGCCAGGCTCTTGAGGGGATTCATATGGTTGAGGGTTGCAAGGGTTTCCAGGCTTTTCTGGGCTTAGGGCGAATGGCTTTGGGCTTGGAGTTGAAAGCCTTGGGTTTTGGGTTTTGCGGGCCGAGGTTCAGAATTCTGGGGCTTGGAGGTTTTAGGAGGGTTTTACCGGGCTCGGGGTTGGGACCCCTTTCCATCTGATTCGGTAGTTTCGGATTCATGGCGTGCAGGCTTCGCAGGTTTTCCTTCTCGACTTTTTGGGGGTTTCCACGTCCAAGTGTTGGGACCTCCCCTGGGCATCAAAATAGCCCAAAAGCCTTATATAGTATGGTCTTTGGGCCCAGAAGCCTTAATATATGAGTCCTTGGACGCCTAGGGCTCCATTGCTCTGCTTGACGCGGGAAACTGCTTCAGCCCCTTCAGAGCATGGGCTCTCCATGCAAGCTCCATACGCCCAAAGACGGCAGCTCCACACTCTCAACCATCACCCAAGCATATAATATAGGGGCGTTAATAGTTGCAGTAGTGTTTTTGGGTATATTTTGCTATAACGAAAACAAGGAACCCCCAAACCCCTGTTCTAATTATTAAGGCCCCAAGCATAAACTCCTGCTCAAAATCCAAACACCCCGGCCTTAAAGCTTTAGAAGCTCCCTCAACGGAGGCCAATGTGAAATCCTGAACTAACCCTAAACCCTAAACCCTAAAATCCTGAACTCCACTTGGCCGCAGGTGGTGTCCCACATGTCCAAGATCCTAACCAACCCCGGGAGTGCTTGCGAGCAGGCGGTTTAGGGTTTAGGGTTTAGGGGTTTCAGGATTTCAGCGTTTGAGGAAGTTCGTGCCAACACGACTACTGTATGAGGTAGAGAAGCTTGAATGCCTTAATGGTCAGTACTACTAACACTTCTACTACTGCTTCTACTTCTTCTACTACTCGTTCTTCTACTTCTACTACTACTACTACTACTACTACTACTACTACTACTACTACTACTGCTGCTACTACTAGTGCTACTACTACTCCTGCTGCTGCTACTACTACTACTTCTACTGCTCCTGCGACTCCTACTACTACGAGATGCCTTCCGTGAGCCAGCCTATGATAATACATCCTGAAACCCTATTCTAGTCACTCAGGCCCCTGCAGAACCTTTGACGAGTGCTGTTGCAAATATCGAAGCAGCCCTCGCCCAAAGGCCCTACGGCTGAAGCCAGTCGAAAGTTAGTTTGACGAGGCGATCGAGCGATCCTTCACCAAGCGAAACTGGCGGCATGTGGTGATGTACGCAATCGATCCGACCCAGCCCCTGCGATAAATTCAGAGGTCGGAACAATTAGTAACAATGTCTCCTGCAAAATCAAAGCCTGTTCCAATTATCGCGGCCCTATAATGCTTCTGGTGCCTAGCATTGAGGTTTAGAAGTGCCCCCGATATTCGGGGTCGGGGTTTGAGGCCAGAGTCTAGGGGCCCTAAGACTTACCAGGCCCCGCGATTCAGGCATTTTGCGATTGAGCTGAGAGCAGTGAAACATGCGATTCAGAGATGGAGCCTGCTGAGGCAGAATGCTTCCTCTTACTACCGGAAGACTCCCTCTTAACGGAGCATCTTCGACCATAAAGGGCAGATCCTTCGGAAGACCCGCGCAGCCCAGCAGCAGACTCGCTCAGGTACTTGTTCATGGAGTTCCACAAGGCTCTTCCGGTTTTCTTCCCAATTTCCGAGATCTGATGGCAATGCTCATGTACTCAGATTGGTGTTGGACGAGTTCCCGTGATGGATGAGTGCAAGTTGTTTTTTACTGTCATGACGCTATGGTCCACCCATTGCTGCCTTTGCATGCCCGGCAACGTCTGCGGTAGTCTCACGCGCACGCTGGGGACTATCAGTACGAGTGCAACCTAAACCCTCAGTCTTAAAGCCAGAACTCTCCAACCCGAAAGCTTGTCACCATGGAGGAGTGGGAGACATTCAAGCAGGGCCTCGTCGACAGGTACTGCCAGGCACGGCTTTTTGTGACATTTTTGCGTTTGGGTAAGGGTAGCCACAACACGGTAGTTACAGTACCGGTAGGTTTTTTGGGAGTCCTAAACCCAACAGCTCGGCTCTCTTCCGATCGGAGCCTGTCCTTCTGGTTTGACTCGTCCTTAAGCTCTCAACCTACCTAGGCTCCCCAACTAGCCTGTCCCAATTTTTCTCTAGATACCCACCATTCAAGACGATAAAGCAGCCATTTTGGCCGGTTGTAGGGCATGAGGCGCAAACCGCCCGAAGCCCAGCGAAGCCTGAGACCAAAGATCTTTAAGGATTGATAACCCCTCTCTTGAAGGGGCTGATGTTAGGATCCCTATTCAAACCCACTTCAAGGGCCCAACAAAATCAAAGCAGAGTTTCCAAAAAACCCTTCAACCCTAATTAACACCCAACCCCTGAACCTGCCATCCCCCCCAGAGCCCCAAATCCATTCCATGTGCTACTGGTAGAGCCTTTACCGAACCCCCACAAAAGAACGACAGGAGCTGAAGAACAACTTCGGCAACTGCCTCCGCGTCGCCGAAGAGCGCATGCAAGACCTCCTTGCAGGCTTGTTGAGTTTAGGGGTTAGTAGGGTTCAGAGCTTAGAGAGGGCTGCGGGTTAAGGGCTTCTGCTTTTGTTTTGGAATTCTGTTTTGTGGTGGGTCATTCCTGCTTACACTGCCTGTTCCCTTGAGCAAAGGTCCTTCAGCCGTTCCCATTGCTAGTTCTTGCGGCAAGGAAGATTCCACTGTGCAGACTAATTATTCCGCATCGAGACCGCAACAACCTTAAGCTCCGGAACCTATATAAACTATAGCATTCGACAAAAATGCTGGGACTCTCTCCGAGAAGTTTTTGTTAACATCCCCGTCGTTCCCGCCTGAAAGGGCAATCCCTCGCAGCTTTTTCCTGGCCATGCTTCGGCTGTTCTCAAAGTTCATGGTCCGTGAAACCCCGAACCTCTAAATCCAAATTCCCCGGCATACCGTAAACCCCAAGAGCTACAGCGTCACATCTGAGCGCCGGACAAGCTACGGCGCCTCGCGCAGGCGGGAATCTCGATGGCGTGAAGGACCTCACCATGAATAAGCTTTCGCACGTTCTGAAGGAGGCCGATTCTTCGCATGGGACTCCCCAAACCGAAACTGTGCTCTTCTGGTGGGCGGTCAGGCCATCAGTTTACTAGTGTACCTTGGAAAATCATGATAATGTCATATTATTATGTGGTCGATCGTTGTTGTATTATGCTGTTTTCCATCCTAAAGGTTTTTGGCTCAGTACATTCAAGGAGAAGTTGACTTCGAAGCCGCAGCTCATCTCCTAAAAGTCCAAAGCAGAGCCACCTCACCCTGAAGCCATGGAGCCCCTACGAGCACGAATCCTGCCTTCAAAGCGTCGTAGCCTTGATCTACTTTACTTTGAATACTTCAGTTTTCAGGGTTTCAGGGTTTCAGGGTTTTCAGTTTTCAGGGTTTACGTAAGGGTTTACGGATCTTCCCTGAGACAGGTGTGTGCAGAGCTAGCGGACGACTCGCTGTCCGCAGTGCTCTGTGGCTGCCTGCCATCCTTCCAGGCCGCCCCGGACTGGAGTTTGGGGTTTAGGATTTCTTTACAGCTCCTAGGGGTTTAGTAAGAATAGTCTTTGTATTTTGGCTCTAAGGACGGCTATGATTTGGGGTTCAGGGTTTAGGCTTCAAGGTAAGAGTTTGGGGCTTAAGCTCTAGGGTTAGGGCTCTTGAGGTTTAAGGTCTATCGAGGCAGGGCCATAGGGGCATCGTGTGGGCCACTCCTTGATCATAAGATGTTGCACTTTGAAAGCTGCACTCTCAAGTGTTAAGCCAAGCATCCTGTTCGCAAAGAACAGTACTCAGCTGACGCAAAAGAAGGGATAACAAATCGACCCCAAACCCTAAATCCTAATCCCTAAACCCTAAACCCTGATCCCTCAAGCCTAAGCCGCCCCTTGAGGCCCCCTGTCAGAACCCTAGAAATTTTCGAACCTCCAAGGCGGACTCCGACTGGACCCTGCAACTCGCCTGGAGTGGTTTGTGCTTCTTTATATATAGGGTTTCTATTCTTGTAAATGGGATTTTATGGTGTTTAATGATGTTGTATGGGGTTTTATAGGGTTTAGTGTTTAGGGTGTAGGACTTAGGACGTTCGAGTCAAGGGTTTAGGGCTTCAGGATTTTCGGGTTTTGGGTGCAGGGTGCTTCTGAGTAGGGCAGGAGACCGAGGTGAAAGCGATATTGGGAGACTGCCATTGCCGAGTTTCCTCAGGGCCAAGCCGGGTTGTGGCTTCGGGCTGTTGGATTTGTGCAGAGGGCTCGATTTGAAGGTGTGGATTCGGTACTATCGGGGCCTGAATAATTGCCTACACCATTTTGGGGGTCCCGTATTACAACTCTTATTTGCTATACCCCCAAGCCCTGTTCAAATTATGAAGGCCCCAATATTATGCGATTGTGGTAGCGATGCCCCGGCATGAAGTGACAACTCTCAATTGCCCGAGGCTCTATAACGCCGGAGCCTCCCGAGTGGATCCCCGCAGCCCACTTCCGATCCTATCATCTCGGGCCCATGTTTGGGGTTTAGGGTTAAGATTATGGTTTAGGGCTTTCAGGATTTAGGATTTATGATTAGGGTTTTGTGGTTTAGGGTTTGGGGCTTGGGGTATAGGGTGGGGGTAGGCGTGTGGGGTGTGAGATTGCCAGGGAAGAAAGGATCAGCGACAGGGGCTCGTTCCTCGAGCATATAGGCTACGTCTTCGCAGCAAGCGACAGCAAAAGGCTGTTACAGTATAGTGGTGTAAAACATGACCTGGGTCAGATCTGTAGCTACGTCGTCCTAGAGGTACACCATAGTATGCGATTTCGGAGGAACGACTTCGGGCAGTTCGTCCAGTTTGCTTCCGTCGAGCTCCGAAGTGACTTGACGAATACGATGGTCGGTTTCGAAGCTGACGCTGTCGGAGAGATTTGGGGCTTTTTGGAAACTCCCATTTGGGGTTCCATGCGGAATGAAGAAACTGAGGCGCCTGACGTGGGTTTAGAGGATTGCAGGTGTTTCAAAGATAAAGACCCCAAAGGGTCCTATGCACCTGTATAGTAGAATGTAGGGTTTCTATATTAGGAATTACTATTAGGATCCAGGGAAGTATACCCCATAACAGTATATACATAGGACCCTTTAGGGACGGAGCTTGGAGTTTCAAAGACGAAGCTTGGATACAGACTCTGAAGACCCCATGCCAGGAATCAAAACCTTGAACGCCGAACACCTTCATCCCAAGACGTTGTTGGGTGTTCGGGTGTTGTATCACTTTCAGGGGTTTCCCGGCAGATAAATAGAATGCACCTGCCGCTACTTGGAGCTTCATGGGTAGTTGAAAGTGGGGATATAAGTAGGCTAACCGGAGTCATAACCCATATTAGGGACTTATGAGCGCACTCACAACTACCCATGAACCCTAAACCCTAAACCCCTAACTCTTGTTACCCCACTTATAGCTACCGATGAACCTCCACGTAACCCCCAATCAACACGGACGCTCAGAATCTTGCGACTCGCCCGCGCTTCTATTGAGCCTCTAGCGCCCGAAGCCGATGCTGAACCCCTATCTAGATCCCTTCTCAGTCTTAGGTTTAGGGTTTAGGTTTTAGGGTTCAGGGTTTAGGGTTTAGGCAGTAGGAAAGCCCTCTTCGAGTTTAGGGATCTGACCTACATTGCACCCTCCATCTTCCAGGATACCGCGCCAACATGAGGGAGACAGAAACGACTGTGGAGCGGCGAATGGAGGCCAGCTGTTCAAAGATCCCGAAGCTCTCCATGGATGGCTGTAACCTATATTCCTAAACCCTAAGTTAGGGTTTAGGGTTTAGGGTGTAGGGTTTAGGGTACCCTAAACCCTAAACCCTAACCCCAAAATGTCCAGGAATTCACCTGCCTCTACCTTGCATGCAGGAAGGCCGATACCTAAAGCAACTCAGGTGCTAAGGCCCGGAAGCTTCCAAGCCGGAACCAGAAGCCCTATCCGAAGGATCATGGGACTCGATAACTATCCAGGGTCTCTATGTTCCCGGGTTTGGGAACTCTGTCTTCGAATCCTGGGTTCAGGGAACTCTGTTCAAACCACGCTGTAGGGTTTTGGGTTTAGGGCGCAGGATTCCCATATCCGGGTTCGAACATGGAGTTCCCTGGAGAGCTCCCGTGCGGTTAAGGTAACCAAACCTAGAACCTAGAAGTACTCAGACTCAAAAGCCCCGTCAAACTAGTCATAGGCTTATTCGCTTCATCCCCTGAGCCTCCAAGGAACCCTGTCGGACCCTTGCAGCCCTGAGTGGTAGACCTCCCTAGGCAGAGCTGACTCGGCAGAAGTCGGAGTTCTGGAAGTGCCGAACGGATGCAGAAATTGTCTGGCTTTGGGGGGGCATATAGGCAGGGTTGAAGCTTTGGGGTTTTGCGGTTTAGGGCCCCGAGAGTTGCAGGAATCGGTCGTTTACAGGTTTTGGGTTCTCGGGTTCTTGAAGGGTCAGTTGTGCAACCTACGGTTTATCTTGCTAGCTGAGTTCATATATTTTACGCTTTTGGGGATCATAGAATCCCCTTCAGAACTGAAAGTACAACTTACTAAGAAATATGTCTTAGTTCTTATAAACTAGGTTATGTGTGAGAGTTTGGGGGTTTGGAAGCTTATTACTGCAAAGCATGAGCCCTTGGCTTTACGGTTCAGGGACCTCCATAATATGGGAGACTGAATACTTAGCTTAGATCCCTCATGACAAGCCGCCCTGCATACCCTGAAAAGGATTGTAATGACGATGTGCACGAAGTCATGTCAACTTGTAGCGAAAGATGAATGTACTATAAGCTAACAAGATACCCCCAAGCCCTGTTCTTTGTTGAGGTCTGGGTAGTTTGTGTATGACGGCAGCTTTAGGATGAGCTGGAAAGCGATCAAAGACGAACTTCCGTCTAGAGCGTGCGCTACCCGCCATGATAAACTGCGCGGATGACTACAAACCCTTTCATGAGCCCGGCTCTCTGGATGGGTCTACTGATCAGGAGGACTTGCGGATTCCCTTTCCAGGCCAACCTAAGGACAGACCCATGCGCTTCGGTGGGGAAAGAGTCACTACTCTTGCAGGCTGGGCACTACAAACTTGCTCTACTCAAGGAAGGAAAGCGCTGGCCCACTCAATAGGTCAGTGCCGAAGCTGCTGGGGTCACCTCTCCAGTGCTTCGTGCCAGTGGTGGCAGCAGTAAGACCCCCTTGCGAAGCGAGGTCTATTTGGGCTTCTGCATCCACTCCCTCAGCTTCTTCCACTTTTTGCTGAGCTCCCAAACCTTTCAAAGCCCCTGAAACCTGAGTGGAATCCAGGCATCCTGAAAGAATCATCCGGACTCGCACCCCAAACCCTAGACCCCTACGTCCTAAACTCAACCATGCCCTTGCAAGCCCGGCTAGGCAATGCGAACTCGAGGTCGCCAAGAGACCCTCGAGGTCTAGGATTTATTCAGGGGTAGGGTGGGGTTTAAAGCTTAGTGGTCGGGTTTTGGGCTTTAGGCTCCAGGACTTAGGGTATCAAAGACTCCTGGTAGCGAGGTTCAGGTCCGACCTTAAACCCCGGGCCCGAAGTCCTAGGCCCCAGAACCGGCCTAAACCTTCAAACCCTCAACTCTAAGACCCTAAACCAAAAGCCCTCAACCCTAAACCCTAAACCCCTAAACCCTAAACCCCTGATCCGAAAACCCTAAACCCCTACTGTAAACCCTAAACCCCTCAACCCTATACCCCGTAAACCCTAAACCCCTAAACCCTAAACCCATCATAGATTAAAAAAAAAACCCTAAACCCTAAACCCTAAACCCCTAAACCCTAAACCCCTAAACCCTAAACCCCTAAACCCTAAACCCCTGAACCAAAAGCCTTGAACCCTCAAGCCTCACTTATGCGAGGCATCTCTGGCTGCCCTGCCCGCTGCCCCGGCTGTGGCACGAAGTGCCTCTCAGATGCCTGGGCTAAGCGGTCTAGGGTTTAAGGGTTTAGGGTTTAGGGTTTGGGGGTTTAGGGTTTAGGGGTTAAGGGGTTTAGGGGTTTAGGGGTTTAGGGGTTTAGGGGTTAGGGTTTCGGGTTAAGCTTGCGGAACTCTCTTGAATTGCTTGGGGGATCATGGGACTTGGTAACTCAAAGGATTCCTTTCAAAGGGGAAAGGAGGGACCCTTAATGGGGACCCCTACCCTATAATGGGCTATATAATGGGTATGTAATGGCTATATCAAGGGTATATACCTAGGGGTCCTTATTAAGGGTCCCTCCTTTTACCCTTGGATTAATGGGTTCGGTCAACTCACCTACAAGAGGCTTGGCTTAAGGCTTAAAGGATCATGGAAAATCGAAACTAGGGTTGAGTTGATAGGTTCGGTATAATCACTTATAGCCCTGGAATCAAGATACTTGTATGGTTTCGTACTAAGTCCCCTTAGTCCTCTAAGTAGACCCCTAAACAGTCGGGTCTCTATTTGTTGTATAAGCTCTCCTCAAGCACGTGCAGGGGACATAGCGGAACTTCTTTATTGTGTACTTTGCTTCACCTACAAGCGGTGAATAGACCCTAACGCGAGTCTCCAGTCCAGCGTTGCTCAGTGGCCTGATAGGCAAAGAGAGAATCGCCAGTGGGACGGATCGCATCCGCGAAAGTACTGCTGAATGCTACAGGTGGGTAGTTGTCAAAATTAGGGTCCCTTTTAGGGTACCCTAAATATTATAGGTGCCGTATTATGATTAGGGACCCAAAAGGGGACCCTAATCTTGACAACCACCCAGGGAGCTTTGAGCAGGCTCCTGCGGTCTCCGTCCTTTTGCCTGCGGAGTGGTTCGCTCCCGGGAGCTCCAGGTCCGACGACCCTAGCTCGAAGCACCTAATATAGGGGCCTTGATAATTAGACTGGGGTTCCTTGACAAAGGTGCCTTTAAGGGAGACCACAAGGGCACTATCAGGGCTCAGCTCTGTTGCTGCTTGCACGACACTGGCGCAAGGTTTGGGATCGCACTTGGGTGGTTGTCAAAATTATGGTCCCTTTTTGGGCACCCTAAATATTAGGTGCCGTACTATAATAAGGACCCAAAAAGGGACCCTAATTTGGACAACCACCCACTTGTGACTGGAGGCCGGGTCTTGCCGGGCTCAAGGCCCAGCGGCGCTAAAACTTCGGGCCTGGCTTTCCTCCTTAGGGTTTAGGGTTTAGGGTTTAGGGTTTAGGGCCGCAGACTCCACAAGAGACTGCACTCTCAAGAATATCGATCGCTCCAGTGCCCCCACCAAAAGGTATTGTGTAGACTTATACACACTTAGAGTGAGGGCCTGGGTAGATACTCTTTGGGATTCACCCAATCTTGTCTTAATTCAAGGTCGACTTGTTTTGGCTAGGGCACTCACTCAGCCCACAAGTGGAGGATCATGGGACTATCCAGCTAGGGTTCCGAAAAAGGTAAGGACACTTGTAGTCACTCATCACCCCATGTAATAAGGCACGAGAGTCGTACTCGTTGAGTCCCCTCAGCCTCCAAGTAGCCAAAGGAGGAACTTAGCAGCTTTTCGGCTTGTTTCTGAGCTTGTTCGAGCCTGGTGAATCAGAGAGAGGGTCGAAGGTTCATGAAGGGCATCTGACGTCCCGATTGCTCAACAACTCCTAAACCGTGAAGCTGTAGACAATTTAAATGCTTGACTTTCAAACGGATGTAAGCCTCGATCCCCTAAACCCCAAGCCCTAAACCCTAAGCCCTAAACCCTAAAGCCATGACCCCTAAACCCTAAACCCTATAAGCCCTAAGCCCTGAACCCTTAAAGCCCTCAACCCTAAACCTAAGCCGTGAGGCCTAAACCCTGTAAACCCCCCGAAACCTCGGATCCCAGGCAATCTGGAGCACGAGAACCACTGGCCAGAGAGGCTTCCAAAACTCGGGGTTCCGGCATTCACTTTAGGCCTTTAGGCCGTACCCCTCTCAGAACCTACCTGATCACGGACTTATGCGGTACCTGGACCCTCTCAGAATCTACAAAAAATGGATGTATATAAGTAAATCATACTAGGGGCTCTTTATGAAGGTAGAGGTTCAGGACTTTGGATTTACGGTTAAGGGTTCAGGGCCGAGGGTTTCTGTGCCTTCTGAACGAGTCCTCGTGCGAGAGGTGAGTGAGCCGACAAATTGCACCTGAAGTATGCCCATGTGAGCAGTCTCCAATCAGGAAGCAGGCACTTTTTAAGCCGTATATTTGCATCTATACCGGCAACGTTCCGGACCGCCCTTTTTCTGTACATTGGGGTATTCTTCGAAATTTGCCTTGACCTTAGACCCGAAAACCCTAAACCTTTTCGGGACCCCTTAGCGACCCCCTGAGAGGCCACACGAGTGCCGGCGCCACGTCTATCCCGCCTTCAACGGTTGGCAGAAGCAGGCAGTTCCGGGTGTTGTCCTTGGCCAGGCTTTCAGCAGCCCTGAATTTCAAGGGACAGCCACGTGAAGCCCTGTTCAGCTGTTTGAAACTGAAGCCATGCCGTCCGAAGCCCCCAAACCCTGAACCCCAAACCATCGAACACCGTCCTTTCCCAAGCCAAAACCACCAAAAACCCTAAACCTTCCCCTCCAAACAAACTCTAGAAGCCCGAAGCCCTATAAGCCCCAAACCTTAAACAGCCTAAACCCTCAGTTCTAAAGTTCCAAGACCACGTCCGGAGGATGGTCGCAAGCCCTTCCTCCTCCACTGCCGCGCCGCTTGGGCAGATTCTTTTCGGACGCCTTCGTTGTTTAGGTTTTGGGGCTTCGGGTTCAGAACCCTAAACCCTAAACCGGTTCAGGTTCAGGATGTAAGGCTTGTTGGTAGAGCACTCGGAAGCGCAAAACCTCTGAGTCTCCGGTACAAACTTGTCCTTCAAAGTTTTCTAGTTTTTATGAAGCACCTTTCTTCGCCTCTGTCCCTTCTATGCATCGGGCATTTGGCAACAACATGTATGCTCCCCTAGACAAACATGGAAGTTCAGAATCAGAGGTACAGTCAGTATTTGGGATAGCAGGCCTCAACGACGGAGGGACAGAGGGTTTCGTGTGGTCGTGGCCGTTGTTGTGGACTTATAGGGTTTACGCTTGAGGTGAGGGTGTAGGGTTTAGGGTTTTGGGATCGTGTCTTTGAGTTCGGCTTACTGACTATAGCTCATCAAGCGCCTTTCCGCAACGACAGTCGTTTATGATGATGGGCAGGCTTTTCCAAATAGGCGAGCTTTTCAAGTTCGGTTTGCAATTGACAACTGAGTAAGCCCTCTCCAGGCTAACCGCCTAAATCGAAAATCCGGAAGCCGTTACCTTGAGTTCTGAATCTTCAATCCTAAATCGTGAACCAGAAGTGTGCTGAGGAGTTTGAAAGTACCTACCCGAATCCAGCCGCAGATCCCTCGGTTTGAAGGTGGGTGCTAAGATGTTCCGATTGATGGCTCTACGAACCCTAAACCCCAAAAACCTAAACACTAAACCCTAAACCCGAAACCCTAAACCCTAGCGGTTTTCATGGTTCACGGATCGGATCGTCGGCTTCGGGTCAAGTCTGCACCGGCAAAGGTTCGGGCAGGTTTGGGGCTTTGGCACTTAGCGGTTTAGGGTTTAGGGTTTAGGGTTTAGGGGTTTAGGGTTTAGCGGTTTAGGGTTTAGGGTTTAGGGGTTTAGGGTTTAGCGGTTTAGGGTTTAGGGGGCTCTGAGTTTTTGGGGCTTCGGTTTCAGTTTTAAGGTTAGGGGTGTGGGGTTTAGGTTTTAGGGTCATTTGCGGATTGGTGGCTCCGGCACCTGTCTTAAGAGACTCGAACCCTCCTGCTTGCTTTTTATAGGGCTGTGGGGGCGGGGAAAGACTGTCGCAGGCCTGAATGCTTGCTAGCTGCTAGAACCAGCCTCTTGCAACGGACCCTATAAATCCTAAACTCGCTCCGTACCTCTTCCGAAATCCCGAACCACCGGAGAGCACCGGATCCTTGTTTTTTGATTTTGGTGTTGGTGCCTTACAAGATCACTGCCCCTGGCACTGAACCCGTACAACCCGGATGGAGCCCGACACCTCCGAAACCCCTAAAGCCCATATTTACAAGGCTTGAGCCCCCCAAAGCCCTCAAGAGGGTTTAGGGTTTGCGGTTTGGCGCAAATTACAAGCACCAACTCTGAAACCTCAAATCCTACTAACCCTTATAAACCTCAAATCCCTAAACCCTATAGTGGAATCCTTATAGTTCCCTTAAAGGAACCCTTACTCCTAAACCCCAACCCCAAACCTCTCCGACACTGCGGAGCTCAGGCGAAGGCCCAATGGCAAATCGCGCGCACGCGCCCGCCAATCGAAGCCGGAGGTCCCGAGAGGCTCCGCGCTTTGGGTTTTTTTTCGCTTCGGTTTTGGGGTTTAGGAGTTTAGGGTTTAGTTGAGGATTTAGGCTTTAAGGAAAAAGGGCTTCGGTTTTGGGGTTTAGCGTTTAAGGAAAAAGGGTTTCGGGGTTTCGGGGTTTAGGGTCCGAGCTTAGGGTTTCGTTGTAGGGGTTTAGGGTTTAGGGCTTTTGTTTCTCGGTTTTAGGAGTCCCTTTGTTTTGGATTTCGGAGGGGTGCGGTGCACATCTCCAGCATGCTCAGGTACTGGGACAACTTCCAGGCCATGTTGGAGGATGATCCTCGACTCTGCTCAGGGTTGAACTGTTGTAGTCTCCATTGCAGTTCCTTTTTGGGGGTTACATCACTACTGCTGATGGACACAATCCTGCATGACCCTAAGGACTCTAAACTATGGGAACTATGGTATATTCCCTATAATGGGTAGTGCAGGATTTAGTAGGACCCTAAATAGACAAAAATCGCGGGACCAAATAAAGGACCCATGCCGGAGACGAAGGGCACAGTTTGGTTCTTCGCGGCTTAGAATTTGCGTGCTGCGGGGTTTCGGATCGAACGTTACCCGAAGCTCCTGAAACCCGAACCCGTAAGTAGCCCCCACCCTAAGACCCCAAAGCAGATAACGCTCATCCAGAGGAGCAAACATTGTGATCCTTGCTGTAAGGGCCCCCCAAAAAGGCACTCCTAAATAGTTGATAGCGTAGGGCTTGGAGTTGAGAGGGTAGGGATTGAATTCGGGTGTATAGCGATGAGTTTAGGAAGGTTTACGCAAAGTTTTTCGAGAAGCTTCAGCTCAAAACCCTCTGCCCTAATCCTGACTGTTGCCCTTCCCCCCACTCCTCAAACAGAAACGCCCTCAACCACCCTGGCTCCAAGTGCAGCCACATCTTCGCAGTAGGAGATGGCTGACCCCCGCGGCCTTAAACCCTGACGTGGTGAACCTCCAAACCCGTACCCTGGACCCAAAACGACCGATGAGCGCTGCATGAGAACTGAGGAGCATCCGGACTGGCTGTGCCCGTGCACGCGCAAGCCCCTGGCAACCATGGAGCCGTTGGAGGACTATGAGGAGGAGCCTTGGGATGGTTTTTAGGGTTTGGGGTTTAGGGTTTAGGGTTTGGGTTCCATGTCGGGGGGCTGAGGATTCAGAGTTTAGGGTTTAGGACCGCTTTGCAGGCTCGGGAGGTGGGCTAACAGGGGCTCAGGATTCATAGGGTTTGGGGTTGAGGGTTTAGGGTTTAGGGTTTAGGGTTTAGGGTTTAGGCTTTAGGGTTTGGGGTTCAGGGTTTAGGGTTCAGGAACTTGGGAAGTGTAGTGTGTCAGGTTTGGGATTTCGGGTTAGAAGCAAGGAATGTTTGCCTTGCATTGGATTGATTTAAGCTACAAGTCGCAACGGAACATGAATGCGGACATTAGACACGGGCAAGGACAAGGACACAGCACCGGAGTTAGTGACTGCATCAATGAGTGGATGCAGGTCTTCAGACTATTCCATTCTCCTCCCATTCTTCAACATACACCAGAACCCTCTTTCGATCATCGACGCCCCGATAGTAAGTCTTGTTACGAACCTTAGAGCTCTACAAAACCCTCCGAAACTTTAGTTGGTACCGCGACGCCGGAATGTCATGCCTTGTTTTTTGGATAACCCATTTTATGGTTGGGATCCCATACCCAGAACCTAAGGAAGAGAAAACGAACTGCGAGAGGTGCCTAAATAATTACTTGCAAGATTTGTTTTGGGGGGTTCCTTGTTATAGTTGCAGTTGGAAAAAGGCGTTCAACAAACAAAACCAAACCCTAAACCCTGAACCCTAAACCCTAAACCCTGAACCCTAAATGTAGACAAAACCCTAAACTCGAAACCCCAACCCGCGTCCATCGGACCTTGCGGTGTTTTCTGACTGCGAGCATATAACATTGGTAAACAGGAGCTCAAACAAAAAGAAAACCCTAAACCCGAACCTCGAACCCCGAAACCCTAATGAGGACTGCGAGACCGCTCCGGATGAGATCCAGCGGGAGATCGAGGACAACGCCGACTGTGTGTTTTTTTGTTGGCGGTCATCTTAATTAAGGAATCCTAATTCCTAAGCCTAGGGTTTAAGGTTTCTTAAGAATCCTCCAGGGTTTAGGGTTCAGGGTTTTGACCCCGAGCCCTATAGGCGCTAAACCTAGGCCCTAGAAGAAAGACCCATAAGCCCTAAAACCTTTGTCAGCATCTACAAGCCCTTCAACCCTAAACCCTAAACCCTAAACCCTAAGCCTCGTACCGAGGCGGACCCTTGGACGCAAGGAAAAGGGCATTGCATTTAAAAAGAAACCCTAAACCCTAAACCCACACCCGAAGCCCACGAATCCCAGAATCTCCCCGATTGTTTTCAATGAGGAGAACCGGCGGGCGTGGGCCAACTGCAAGGCGACTTCTTAGGGTTTCGGTTCTTTAGATCCCTAGGGTTTAGGAGTTTAGGGGTTCAGGGGTTTAGGGGTGTGGGGGGTTTGGGGTTTAGGGCCTGGGGGTTTAGGGGTTTAGGGGTAGGAGTTTATGGGTGTAGGTGTTTCGGGGTCAGGGTAATACCATGTAGGGTTTAGGGGTCTGGAGGTTTAGGGTTTATATAATATAAAGGGGTTTAGGGCTTGGAGTTTAGGGGTTGCGGTTTACAGTAAGGGGTTGCGGGGGTCTACTACATACCTTAAGTTTGTAGGGGCTACAGCTTGCAGGAGCGACAGAAGGGCGCTCGGAGCAACTTTAGTTTCCTTTCTGGGTGTTCCTTAGGAATGATGTCCAATCCTTATAGGGCTTCAGGGTTTGCAGTGTAGGACGGAGGGCTTCGCTGCTTCTGCTTTTTGTTTCATGGTGCTGCTTGGAGTTTTGGGTGTAAGGTGTGGGATTGAGGTTTGGGGTTTGGGGGGTTGGGTTTAGGGTTATGTTTTCGGGGACATGCCGGCATCGAGGAGATCTCAGAAGCCCTACAGCATAGGCTGCCTCTCCATTCCTGCTTCAAGGATCATAGGGCAATGGGTAAACTTGGTTTTCACGGGCCGCGATGGGTGGCCTCTGCCTTGAGTTTTCGGGTGGGGTTTAGGAATCAGGGTTGAGGGTTTCAAAGCTAGGGTTCCGGCTTTCGACAGCTCAGAGCATGCGTAATCGTAAGAGCTGAAAAGAAAAACCCTCAAGCCGGAATGCTCGACGAAGCTTAAACAGTGTCCCCAGAAACCCTAAACCCTGAAACCATAAAGCCCCAAAGCCTTAAAGCCCAAAACACCAAAGCCTTACACCTTAACACCCAAGAAGGAATCCTGGCCCTAAACCCTGAACTTCCGAGACTCCAGCGCTACTGAAACTGTCCGGTCTACAGGTGTTTGATTGATCGGTTTGAGTGTGGGGATTAAGGTTGACATGCTAAGCAGAACTACGGTTTAGCGTCTTTAAGGTTTCCAGCAGTTTCTTTTTTCGGGTTTCGGGTTTTAAGGGTTTGGCTTTGGGGTTTCGGGTTTCAGGGCTGTGCGGTCTAGGGTGTGGGGTGTAATCTATTGGATCCCCCAAGCCATCAGGACTCACACCCAAAGACCGTCTAGCACACGAGGGTTAGGGAAGTACTTCTCGTGACACAGGGGAGCAACAGCTAAGCGCTTTGATCTTCAGCATATTTCCACACGACTGAAATATCGTACTGGACCTAAACCCTCGTCCACAAAAATCTCGGGCTACTATCAAGGCCATCGGCCAAGTTTCTGCTGTGCAGGACGCCCTCCTCGAGCACTTCACATCCATGGCAGATGATCCCGACATTCCCTGGCTGGAGAAGTGCCCCACGAAGTTGGGGGTCAGTACAGAAAGTCTTGCAATCTGATTCGGAACCCTAAACCCTAAACCCCAAACCCTAAATCCTAAACCCCAAACCCGAAACCCTAAACCCTAAACCCCAAACCCTCAACCCTAAACCCCAAACCTGCTTGCGCCGGGCTGAAGCCTTTGCGCCTGAATTGCCGCAGCATAAGTACCTGAGTGGCCTTAACGCAAGCGCCCTACATGTCTGCATTTTGCTGTGCTCAGTGGGATTTTGGATTAGATTTCAGTACTTGGGACCCCAAACCTAAGTGTCCGCACCCTAAAGCCCTTAACCCCACAAAAAATGCCCTAATCCTCCCATCAGACCCAAAAGCCTCCTGGTCCTAAACCCTTTGACGGTTTAGGGTTTAGGGTCTAGGGTTTGAGCATCCTGAAACAGCAACCAAGAGCCTACACAGCTCAAATCCTGACCTCTGCAAACTGTTGAGTCAGACCCTTCGGGCGAGTTTCCCTCTTTTTGCTGGGTTTAGGGTTTGGGGTTTGTGTCGACTCTAGGTTTTAGTTTAGGCGTAAACCAGCCCCTAAACCCGAAAGAAAACAAAAAAGGCTAAAACCAGTAGTAGGGTTTAGGGTTCAGGGTTCATTTTAGAGTCCAAGGTTTCAGGTTCAGCTTAAGTTGCAGGTTGTAGGGCTCACCCCCAAAGTAGCGTGTAGGGTAGCCCTCACCTGCGGTTTAGGGCCTGTACCCCTGCATGAAAATCCGGTACGTCGACCCTACACCCCGAATGCTCCTTTCTGAGGGCCCCAAAGGGTTCCCTTCAAAGGTACCCCAAATGCTCCCTTTAAGGGACACCCTAAGGGCTCCTTTCAGGGATACTCCCCTACAGGGTTCCTTTGAAGGGACACCCGAAGAGTCCCTTTCAGGGAATCCCTGAAATTTTGTTTAAGGGATACCCCTGGGGTTCTTGTTCGGCCTTCGATTCAAGCTGCCAGTCGAGAATGGCATCCCAGGTACAAACGCGAAGGTGGGGCGTTGTCCAGAGAGGCGCGGGCAGTCTTGCTGCATGGGTTTAGGGTCTGGCGTTCTGGAGGGACCCCTACTACCGACTAAATCCACGACCCCTTGCTGTTTTGGAGTTTACGGTCTAGGGCAGGGTCCTCGGCGCAGGTGCACAGTTTTCCCTAGTTTTGATCATTTCCCTAGTTGTAAGCGCCATCTATACTTTCCTTCTTTTGTGAGTGGCTTCAGTCGGATCCTACCCCGAAACCTTGAACCCGGAGGTGCGTCTTACCACGTGACAAACTAACCCGGCGCAAGGCTTTCTGAAAGGTTGGGGGTTTAGGTGTGCTTGGTTGGTCATGGACTGGCTCGTCTGCGTTCGTGCTAAGGAGCTTCCTTTACGTTACCATAGGTGGGATCTATGGTCAACACTAAGGTTCCTTATAGGGGACCCCAGAAACTTGGAACAGGGATGTAGGATGAGTAGCGCTGGGGTTCCTCCTACTTTACATATAGGGCATGAGGATATCTCTCGAACGGTTAAGCCTTCCGTTCACGACTAAGGGCGGTGCATGGGGGGACAGTATAGAGCCCTCAAGGCGAGATGTCCTTGTGGTCAACCGAGGCGTGATTTGCGCAAATTGGTACTTACCAGTAGTCTTTTAAAGGACAGAAGCAATTGCACAACAGAGCAGTACTCACAAGAGATATACCACCTCTACCGCGATGTCGCTCCGTCTTTGGGCTGTTGGGCTTGCTGCCCTCTTGTTCTCGTCCTTCTGCGTCCATCTGGGAGCTGCTGCTTCCGGTCTGCGGGAATCCCATCGGGAAGCGGTTCGACCCAATCCCGCGGCCGTTTCATCCCAGCCGCATCCTGCTGTGGGGGTGGATGCAAAGCCTGGGTCCACGGCCGCTGTCGGTGAGTTTCCTGCGAACCGTGCGAGCCTGGAGCGATCCCACGACATGTCGACCACGACGCACAAATCGGAAACGTCGTGGAAGCCCATCAAGATTCTGTACATCATCACGAGTCTGGCGCCCTTCGACTGGAATCCCTTCGGCCCGATGAAGTGGAATTACTTGCAGGCGGCGGATCCCACCGGAAGGAAGACGGACATGCACTGCATCTGGTTCGCCCGGGCTCACAAGAAGGGCGACGCGTACAACGGCACCTATCAGAGCCAATATGACCCCAAGACTGGCAGGAATGACCTCGTGAAAATCAGCGGCATCGCTGCGTGGGATACGGTGGCGGTGCAGAAGTTCGTGGGGGAGCACTACGAAGAGGGTAACACGCGGCTGGTGATCGGTACGCATGGGCAGGGCGATCGGTTCTGGATCCTGAACTACACGACGGATGGTGGCCGTACGTACCACCAAGGGGAGTCGGTTTGGGTCAACCAGGTGATCCGCGAGAACTTCCAGGGGCGGCACTTCCTCAGCATCGTGCTGGACTGCTGCCTGATGGGGGAGCTGTACACCATGAGCAACTTCAACAGCATCACCAACTACGTGGGGTGTGGGGAAGGGTTCCAGTGGGGCGACGACTGGGACCTGAACGGGACTATGTTCTCGGCGACCTCGGCGCTGGCCCAGAGCAACCCAAACATCAACACGTACAACGCGCTTGTGGCAACGGGGGAGCACTTCATGCAACACTCTCCCCTGGGGAGAAACGACTTTGGGATCTTCTTCACGCCGAGCGCCGATGCCTTGCTTACGCACATCAGCGAGAGCCCGATCTACCACGGCATACTGAAGGAGACCTCCGAGAAGATTGCCAGAAACACACCCATCACCGAGAAGAACTTCAACTACAGCTTCTACACCGTGGCGGATGATGACGACTCCAGCGACACGCAGTACCTGGTTGATGTGTGGAAGCTGGCACTCACCAACCCGAGCGACACCAAACTGGTCACGCTGTTCCGAAGTGTGTTGTGGTGGCACCAAGGGCAGCATTGCGGCTCTGGCCGCGAGACACCGGCCCTCTACAACTTCCAGCTCAGCGGTCTCTCTGTTACTTCTGCTCATGTCAGCAACCCCATCGCTCCGACTCTGATTCGACGGCTCACAGGAACTGCTCCGAATGAAACCCTTCCGGTGTATGCGAGCACCATCATTGCTCTTCTTGCGTTGGTGCTGGTGGTTGGGCTGCTGCTCTCAAGGCGCCAGAAGTCAGTGTCATCGGCGCGAAACCTGAGCAAGGCATCAGAGGAAGGGGATGAGCAGCACATGATAGAGCTGTATGCCCCAAAAGCTTAGTCTAATTATTATAAGGCACATATATTGGGCGTCTTTTCTTGCCGGCGCTCACTTCACGCGACTTTGTGCATGTCCGAAGCAGAGGTCCGAAAAAAGGGCACTGGGAGTTGGAGTCTTGGGCCCTTCGGACAGTAATATAGCGGCCTAAGTAATTACCAATACTGTTTTGGGGGTTCCGTGTTACAAGTATAGTATAAGGCGCCCCCAAACCATATTCTAATTATTGCGGCCCCTACATTAAATGCTAAGTCCTGACGTCCTGCGAGGGTTTAAGGTGAGTTTGGTGTTCAGGGCATTAGTAAACCCTAAAGACACAATCCAACTCAACAAGTTCGCAGGCTTTAGCATTTATTTGGGGTGTAGGGTCATGAACGTAGAGGTTAAAGTCACAGTGTAAGCCCAAGGCCGAAACCAGACCTAGACCAGCGAAACAAAAAGCCTACGTGAGAATGCCCGAACTGCGTCCCCCGGATCACACATCTGTGTGATACCACTAAAGCTGAGGCCCTGACCCCATGGGGCACTGGAATCCAATTTAACTCTAAACCCTACTTCCTGCACGCCGATATAGTTGCATCCTTCATCTTCAACAGCTCAGCCCTAAACACTGAACCTTTATAAACCCTGAATTCGAAACTCAACGCCCAAATTCTGCAAGAAGAAGGATAAACGCCCTGAGCCCTAAACTTGGGGGTACTTAGAAATATTTTTAAATTTTTGGTTATTATAATCCCTAAGAAACAGCTAAAATTACATTTTTTGCTAGGGTTCTAATTTCAGTATAGTAAAGCGAACCGGAAGTTGCTTTCTTCTTGGAGGACTTTGCCTCGATCCGAGACGAACTCTTTGCGGTCACTCCTTTGGAATCCCTGGAGGCCCTTGCTGGCTCAGGGCTTGGGGCTTAGGGTTTAGGGTTTGAGGTTTAGGGTTTAGGGGTTTAGGGTTGTGTTTAGCGGTTTAGGGTTTGGGGTTTAGGGTTTGGGGTTTAGGGTTTAGGGGGTTTAGGGTGTGGGGTTCAGGGTTCAGGGGTTTAGGATTTAGGTGTTTCGGGTTGAGGGCTTGTATAGGTTTCTAGGTTTTAGGGAGACCCCTGACTCTCTTAAAATGGACCTTATTGAGAGTCTACCTAGTCCTAGCTCCTACTTTCATGCTCAGTCCGACAGAAAGCAATATTTCTCCGGGTTCCTTCGTTATTTTTCATTGAAGCCAGTAGAAATACTAGGTAGCATAGTAGCCGCAGTATATACATATTACAGAGTCACCTCAAAAACCCTGTTCCCATCCTCGGGGTCCCGATATCAACCGAGCTCACTCAGCCTCTGGGGGTTATAGTGAACCCCAGAAAGTTGGAACATGGATTTAGGATTGATTAGTGCGGGGATTCCCTCTACTATACCTTCAAGGTATGGGGATAATGATGTTCCAACTTTATGGCTTCTACTGTATGGGCTTAGGGTTTGGTTAGAAAGTTAAGCTTAGGGGTCAGGGTTTGGGGCAAGTAAGGGTAAGGGTAGGGTTGCGGGTGAAGGGTTTAGGATTCAGTTATCTCTTTCTAGGACGAGCTGCTGGGGATTGGTATTCGCATTGCGACCGCGACCTTGATCCAGGCTTTGGGATCATCCGGATCAGGTTTCAAATCCCTGCTGCTGCGCAAGTTGGAAGAAAACCCTAAGCCTAAACCCTAAACCCTAAATCCTCAACCCTGAACCGTTTTGGAAGGGGATCAAGGTCCGAATACTGCTTGTATTGGGGCTCGAGCTCTGGAGTCCAGGCTCCATCTCCTGGGAGGCCTTCAGCTTGGGACATAGATCAGGGATGCAATGTACCAATATAGAAGATACTTGGGTCCTAAAGTACCTAACTAGGGGCTACACTAAGGCCAAACCCTAAAACCCTAAACCCTAAACCCCAGACCGTTTGAGTACATGGGCATATTTTGTTTTCAAGGCTTTTGCGAGACTCGGAATGACGAGCCCTTTGCACTTGGAGGTTCATGGGTAGTTATACATGCCGTAATATTGGGTATAAGTTGGGACTAAGAGTTATAAGGGTCTAGGGCTTAGGGTTTAGGGAGTTATAAGTGGGGCTGTTTGTCCCCTAATATGGGTTATCATTTATATAGTTAGCCTACGTAACTCCGTTTATAGCCACCCATGAACTTCCAAGTAGGCAATGGACAGCATGATGCCCTTGGACGATCCTTTGGACGAGTCTGGCTACTGAGGGCCTACCTTTTGTAGTTCCTGGCTGGTTTGAAGACACTTCGGGCCGCTGAAGCGGGTTCCGATCCTGTTGAACCACAAGCCCGGGTTCAATAAAATTAAACCTCAAACCCTAAACCCCTAAAGTCCTCACCCCTAAGCCCTAAAGGCCCTAAATCCCTAAACCCTGAACCCCAAACCCTACATAAACCCTAAATTTAATAACCTTAAACCCCAAACCCTAAACCCTAAATTTACGGCCTCGCCGCTGGAAGTCTCACCGGCTCGGGCCGCCAATTTTCCGCTTCCTGCTCAGCCTCGAAGGCTAGGGCTTTCCTCTTTAGATGCTGGGGGTTTAGGGTTCAGGGTCTATATAGGGGTTTAGGGTTGATAGAGTTTGGGGGGTTAATTTAGGGTTTAGGTTTAGGGGTTTAGGGCTTACCTGTAGCCGGAAAGACCTACCTTTTTTTTTTATTAGGGTTCCTTACTATGGTTTCTAAACATAGTTCCTTCAAAAGGTAGGTCTTTTCGGCTACAGGTAGGGTCTATATAGGGGTTTAGGGTTGATAGAGTTTAGGGCGTTAATTTAGGGTTTCGGGGTTTAGGGTTCATAGGTTTAGGGTTTATAGCGGTTGGGGTTTAGGAGCTTCGTTTAAAGGAATCTTTAAGGTTTCTCTTGTATCAAGGGTTCTACAACAGGGCTCTCTTAAAGCGTTTCAGAGCAAATCGTACGTCTAGGGTGCTTCAGGTCTCTCCGTAATTGTCTGGCTTTCTCAGTGAGGTCGGCGCCCCAACCTTCGGGAACTTGAGCTGCCCCGTGCGAATTAACCGGCTGCTGCGGCGTCTCCAAGAAGAATTCCTAGACCTGCTGGCTTGTACCTGTACCGGCAGCAAGTGAAGCTCTGCATGAAATGCAAATCCCTGAAACCGAAACCGTAAACCTCAAAACCTTCCAAATCCCTGAACCCTAAGCCTTAAAAACCCTGAATCCCACATCTTCAGTGGTCGCAACAATCTTCTACAACAGCCTCCGACTCCGTAACCTGTTGCTGCATCGGAAGATGTTAGAAGCGCCGAAAGGTGCCCAAAGGAAATGTCAAGGTTTTTCCGGTGCATACCGGTTCATATGGGAGTTTCCGAAAATAGGGGACCCCAATATAGTACCCTAAATAGTAGGATCCTTACTATAAGGACCCCAAAATAAGGTACCCCTATTTTCGGAAACTCCCATATCGCTCAAAGGGAATGGCAGTGGTTTGTCAAATGCTTCTCAGTCCGAGGCTCCTGGGATGTTGAATGCTAACCTACCCCACGCAACCTACCGCGGCGCCCTTGTCCGACAAGTGTTCATACCAATACCTTGTAAATACCCTAAAAGGGACCCTAATTGGGGTTATGGTACTTATAAGTCCCTAAAATAATCAGTTACTAAGTCCCCCGACCCTCCAAGTACCAATACCAAGATGCGGTTCACGTGGGTTAACATAGGAGGTCGGATCAAGAAACAGCGGGACGAACCCTTTTCGGGGGGTTGCAGCCCGGTGTACAGTATCCGCCCCCGACGGAGAAAAGACAGCTCCCTTTCAGCGGTTGGCCCCGAAGGCTCACCCTAAAGCTGAAGAAGCATACACATGACTAAACTGATACATGTGCATACTTGTAATCTCACATCAGCTGTCTGTCCTCCCGAAACAGCGGATTTCCCCATGAATACTTAATTCGACGCACAGCCCACTGCGCGAGATCGGTTCTGCACAGGCCGAACGCTGCAAGATGCCTCACCTGGGTTTGGAGTACCATATACTTGAATGCTTGCTTTGGTACTTCTCCTTAGGAACTATTAGCGTATAAACTGAAAGTCTATTCCTTTTCTCTCCCTGGTTACTTCAAAGTCCAGCTCATTGCTTCAGGCTTTGTGTTAAGGGCTTATGGCCGAGAGTGTAGAGTTTGGGGTTGGGGTGTAGGGGTTGTCCAGGGTTGATAGCTCCCGCATCCTTTTGGGGCGTGAGCAGCAGGATTTCTCAGTGCAACCCTCAGGCAGTATTAAGGGGGAGGCCTCTATCTCCAAGTGTAAACTCCAACAGCTACACAGAAAGCCCCCTACTCCACAATTCAATTCCCCTTAGGGGTACCTAGAAATATTTTCTAATTTTGGGTTATTATAATCTCCTAAGAAACAGCTCAAATTAAAATTGTTGCTAGGGTTCTAAGTTCAGTATAGTCCCGAAACCCGAACTCCGAAGCCCAACACCGCCATCCCTGCCCCTTTGAAGAACCCGTGCCATATGAAACCTTCGGGGAAGCTCGTCAGGACGTCTGTAAAGAAGCCTATGATTCCTGGGTTCGGGGTTTAGGGTCCTTTAAAGGAACGATGAGGATTCCTATAAGGGATCTAGAAGGGTACTATCGGGTTCACGGTTCAGGGTTCTAGCGCTTATGGAGCCCCACAGAAACCTTACCGAACCCCTAGGATTCTTTACCCGAACCCCTGAACTTCACCGCGAGAGCGAGGAGATCTATGCGCGCTTGGGGGCGGCACTCCCAGGGAACGAAGAGGACGAGTCCGCAGACCAGGCCGGTTTGGGCTTCGGGGTGCAGTGTCGGGCTTTGGGTTCAGCGTTCAAGGGTTAGGGCTTCAGGGCTTTAGGGGCTAGGTTAGGGTTGGTGTTTGGGCTTGCATTTTTCATGTTTAGGACTTTGGGGATCTTGAAGACGGGTTTGGATAGAGGGTTTGCGAGCTTTTTGTCGTTTACGGGTTCTGTAGGGCTTTTATGAGACAGTGTTGGGGGCCTTGGGGCGTGGGTTCAGAGCTTTGGGTTATAGTTGTGCTGCTGTTTCGAGGTTGAGGGCAGTTTAGGGTTCAGCGTTTGCAGTAGTAGAGGGAAAGCAAATTGAAGTTGGAACACAGAGAAAGGAGGTGTTTGAGTCAGGGCTGGGGGATAGAAAGGTTCCAGACAACCTATTTTGGCTTCCATTTTCGGGCTTGTTGGGTTCAGGGTTTCGGGCTTCCACGATGGAGGGTTTGGAACCCGGGGTTCCGCTTGTGGGGGTTTTCAGCGTATAGGGTTGTGCGGTTGAGGGTTGCTAGGTACTATACTTTATTTATGGTGGAAGGGTTTCTGGGTTGGAGATTCTGGTTCAGATTCATTGTTTACGGCATGAGGGCTTATGCAAACTTGATTATGCATGCTGCCAAACGTACTTGTTATACTTGTCGGAGCTTCATCTTCCTTGTGGAGTATCTTTGTCAAACATGTATCAGCTCATGGCGCAAGGCAGCAGCTCTCTTCCGGGCATACTTCGCCGGGGAGTTGCTCGAGGCACCGGCGGTAAGAGACTGGTGGCTCTGGATGTGTTTCTGAAGTAGTGGTTACTGTTAATTACACTTGTTCTGTGTATCATCCGTAGTTCTGTGATAGTCTCTTCCTGATACTCTTGTTAATGCCTGATTGAATAGATGAGGTGAAGCAACAGTTACTCTACAGCGTCAGGAGAAAGGTAAAACACGGGTAATTTCTTGTGACCAAGAGGTTTTACGATAGGTGGAAGAAATGCGAAGGAAACAACAGCATGGGTTATAAGTGAGGCCCCATTCCACATCTTCACACTGGCATGCACACAAACACACACATACATATTAAACATATACACATACACACCTACATACATACATTCATACTCATGCATACCTCTCTCTCTCTATATATATATGCACAACACACATATAGTTTATAGTATATATAGCAGATGTGTATGTATATGCATCTGCATAAGCACTTGCATTTGGATACGTGACTGTTATTCGTATATATATATATATATATATATATATATATTTATGTGTGTATATATATATATGTATGTTTAAATCTGTGTATGTATATATGTATATATGTATATATTCATCTATGCATATATGTATGTGTATATGTACATATTTATGTATATATGTATGTATGTGCGTGTGTCTGTGTCTGTGTCTCTGGTGTAGGTGTGCGTGCACATGTACGTGCAGGTGTGGGTGTAAGTGTACGGTACGTGTGCGAACATGTGTTAGTGTACGTGTACGTGTCGTGTACGTACATGCGTACGTGCGTACGTATGTATGTATTTATGTACATTGCATTGTGTGTTTGGAGGATGCCGGCACGAAGGCCACACTTGTACTGCATGTGCTCCGTAGACTCAGGCTGCCGCATGGGTGGACGACTCGAGTGATTTTGAATTTTTCGGCTACATCCCGAGGCTTGCATCAAGCTTGACAGTCTGACATGCCATGTCTGACATGCCCATGCTCATGGACCTATAAGCTAGATTCAATGCAAGTGCCACGACCAAACGCCTCACACCCTAATTAAGCCCTCAACTCCTAATCCTCCACGCCAAACCCTAGACCCTGGGCCCCAAACCGAATCGACGTTCATGCTTCTCGGGGGTGGAGCCGGGTTGGCTTCACCAATGTGTTCGCAGGGATACTGTGACATGGTTCCTACTTCCGGCCGAACAAGCCTAAAATCAGCATAACTCCGGTAGCTTAAACCCAAATTAATTAAACCCTAAACCCCTAAACCCCTACATCCTAAACCCCGAACTAAGCCCTAAACCCTAAACTCAGCATGACTCCCGTAGCCGGAAATGGTGAAGCCGAAGCCTTGAGGACATGAGCTCTGGTTCCTCTTAGCCCTGAGGTAACGTCCCTGACTAAAAGCCTCGACCCCAAACGGTGAGCCCAAACCCCCGCAGCCTACACTTGAAATGAGGCCCTGAATCTTGTTCCCTCTGCTGCAAACCCGATAAACCCTGGAAATGCCCGAAACCCTCATCGTATCTCCCTTGACTCCCTCATCATCCCTCGATCCAGAAGCAGGCCGGAGCATGCCTGATGGATTGCACCACCTGGGAGGCTGATTCTAAGAGATATGAGATCTAGACTTCGGAGCCGGGGCTTAGGGGGCTGAAGGGTTCAGGCTTGCACGTGGTATGTGTGTTGGGTTTAGGGTTGAGGGTTCAGGGTCTAGGGTT